GGAGGCTGAGATGAGTGGATTGCCTGAGCCCCTGGGTTCGAGACCCGCCTGGGCAGGCTAGACCTCATCTCTACAATAAATCAAAAAATGAGCCGGGCGTGGCAGCGCGTGCCTGTAATTCTGGCTACTTGGAAGGCTGAGGCGGAAGGATCGCCAGAGCCCAGCGGGCGAGGCTGCGGTGGCCGGGAGCGGCCACTGCACTCCAGTCTGGGCGACAGAGTGATACTCCAACTCAAAAAAAAAAGAAAACAAATAGTGTAAACTCACAACCACTAAATTATAATCTCGGTTGGTGTTCAGATTGTCAGTATGTTATTCACAGTTCTATCCCCCATAGTACAAGTGACATATAGTAGATGTGCAATAAAAAATTTTTATAATAGATGATTAAATTAATTATTAATTCTAAAAATTAAATCCAAGTGTTTTTTTTTTTAAATTGGGGTCTCACTCTTTCACTCAGACTGGAGTGCAGTGGCACAGTAACAGCTCGAACTCCTGGTCTGAAGGAATACACCCTCTTTAGCCTCCCAGGTAGCAGACTACAAGTGTGCACCAGTATGCCCAGCTAATTTTTTAATTTTTTTGTAGAGATGAAGCTTCACTATGTTGCCAAGGCTGGTTTCAAACACCTGAGCTCAAGCAATCCTCCCACCTTGGCCTACCAAATTGTTGGGATTATAGGCGTGAGCCATTGTGCCCAGTCTCCAAGTGGTTTTTCTACTGTTAGATTGATATTAAAAAGTTAGAACACTATAGCTATGGCATAAAGTTTATACCATAAAGATAAATAGGTAATATAAAGTGTGATCATGATCTAAAGATTTGAATTACCTCTGCCCCCCTGTGGACTAATATCATGTCAATTATGTTATAAATAAATTTTCTTTGCAACTGCATTTTTCAATAAACTCCTAATTTTTTTGAAGGAAGACTTATCTGCATTAACAAATAAAATAACAGCACATTAAATCATTTTCCCACAAAACTCAGTTCATTATCACTTCCATTTTTGGTAAAGTTATTTCATGTTTATGATTCCATATTTATTGAGTAGTAATTAAAGTTTTAGATGCTATAACTACATTGCACGTTACAGAATATGAGTCAGGTGAATTATGAGCATGACAATTTTATTTTTTTAACTCTAAGAAAATTTCATGTTTTACTATCCCACTTAAAAATTGTTGCCTTAAATAAAAATAAAAAAATTTATTTCTTAATGATGAAGGAGATTTTGAGAAACTGAAATGCTATTTATTTTTAGCAATTGGCCCAAGTATTTTTCCTGTCAATTCTGCAAGCCACAGCATGGTGGTCTGATAAGTATTAATTCACTGACACTGGAGGCTGAGACTGTTAATTTTCTTTCTTTCTTTCTTTCTTTCTTTCTTTCTTTCAAGCCACAGCATGGTGGTCTGATAAGTATTAATTCACTGACACTGGAGGCTGAGACTGTTAATTTTCTTTCTTTCTTTCTTTCTTTCTTTCTTTCTTTCTTTCTTTCTTTCTTTCTTT